CAGCAGGATATCTCTTTGCTATGTGCATCACGTTGAAGGGACACAGAAGTAGCATAGCGCACTAGACTAGCATAAAAGAAAATTAGCCTTGTAAGAAAACATGAATCGTAGGTAGGAGAACCTGGCACTGAGGGAATTCAGAATAAGCCTCTGTGCTAATTCATGTGTAAAGCATCTTCCAGTAGCAGCTGCATTCGAGGAAGTGCAGACGGTCAGATGTGACAAGATACAGTGTTGGACTGACAGATTGACTGGCAGGCCTGGAGGGCTGCAGGAATACCTCTGCAAGAAGCAAGAGAGTGAAATATTTCTCATTAACATCTAATTGGAGCAAAGAAACAGTACTATGAGAAGTGTCACACTGTTGGTTTTTACAACTGGGGAGGGCAGGAATAGAGGAGATGAGGCAGTGATGAATGGGGTATATCAGATAGATGTCTTAAACACACACTTTTGGGAAACCCATGATTGCATGACTGGTCTTTTTAAGCCTGGCAAAATTGTTTAATTCTCTTCCCATTGCGCTAGGAAAAAGGAGAATTTTTACCATCCTCACAACAAACTGTAAAGCTCTTTTTAGCTTTGCAGCTACAAGACAGCTATTTCAAAAGCCCAAAGCACACTCAGCTCAAGAACAAGTCAAATATTTGGATAAGTACCTTTTGTTTAACTTACGTATTTTGTCAGAAGAGGAAGAGAAAGAGCACTGTTCTTGCAGTGCAACACAACTCTAACAACATCTTCATTTTGGTTTCAGAAGTCTACAGAACAAATGAAGAAAGTCCCAACCATTGTCCTGTCTGTCTCTTACAAGGGAGTCAAATTTATTGATGCAACAAATAAGGTATGTGCAATTGCTCAATATTAGCTTTTACTTCTCACAAATAGGAGTATCTATGAGTCTGGCTCTGTAAGAGCACCAGAACAGAGAGAGGACAGAGTTGCACTTTGTGTTTTCCTCTTTTCTTTTTCTCTTCTCTCCAAATGGATGTAATCTTATTGTCATTCTCCAGAAACTCAGTCAGGAGGACAAGGGAAGCAAGATTAGTTGCTCATTTGGAGAACATTGTGTCCAACCTGCTGCCATTAAATGGCAAGCTTTTCACAAAAGACATTTGGCAGGGAGTCTCTCTGGAATCCCTTACCATATTCTTCCCTATTCAGTTCCTTAAATGTGCGGGAAATATATATATATTTGTTCATGAATGTAATTCTGGCAAAAAAAAAAAAAAAAAAAAAGATGTCTCAATTAAGATTAAAGATGCAAAGTTTTAGCCAGGGCCAGTAATTGTAAGAATAAGAAACATGAGCCTTGAATGTTCTTTCCAAATGTCAGAGCCTCTCTGATAGCTATTTTGCTGGTACTAGCCATTTGACTCTGAACTGCATCAGCTTCTTAACAGTTGTTATTCCTTTTTTTTTTTTTTTAATCTTCCTGTGTGGCAATGCCCCTGTGCTTTCTTACATTTTGAAATACATACGTTTTCAAACAAAAACAAACCACACAAAAGCAGATTTTGGGAGATCAGAGAACTCAGTGATGGACAGAGCAATGGGTTATCGCTTCACCAAAATAAAATGTACAAGCTCCAAGCTCTGTAAGCAGGAGTAAAGTAATGCATTAATTTCTGTTCCTCAGATGTCTAAAACGGCAAGAAAATGCAATCCATACTGATACTTGCATATGAATAGAAAAGAAATTATATTTTCTGTTATGTGACTAAAACTCACTAAGCAATATAAAGAATAAATTTGACAACCCAGCTACCTGACCAGGTTAATAATGTATATAACTGCTTTGTGTTGCTGAATGTTCAGACCACACGATACATCTAACCCAATATCTGTCAAACTTGCTGAATCAGTCTGTTTTTAAAGGTGTTTAACTAGAACTGGGTTTTAAGTGAAGGAACGAGAGCAGATTTGTGAACTTTTACTAGAGTTTGGAAGCCATATTTAGGGTTAGAAGACGGCGTGAAAGAAAAACAGGTGAAATTACTCTTATGTGAAGTCTGTCATATTTGCCAGAGCAGAGAGGCCAGGGATTCCTGTCAGCTCCTTTTTCTTCCATTGATTCAAAACTGAGCTTCTACAACCCTCATTTCCTTTATGTTCTCTGATGTGCAGGGCATAAATGAAGACATTGTAATGCTATTAACTCTATCTTGGATAGGGCTGTTTTCGACTTTTAAATCTCCTCTGTAGTATAAAGTATGTAACTGCAATGTCCTTAGGTTTACAAAAAAAAACATCAGGCGAACAAAAGGAGCTTCCAGTATCTCTTTGCACGGTACCTAAAATCTTATGTAAGATGGAAACTTGAAAGAAGTTTGGCAAATTGCATTAGGTGGTTCTGGACCAGTCCCACAGAAATCTTATGCCTAGTAGTGCAATAGATGTATTTGATGGAGGTAAATAATGCCACAGTCCTGTGTTTTTTCTCAAGTGGTAGATTGCTTTCTGTCCAGTTCAAAATCTGCACTGCCTTTCCCTTCTGTAAAAACCAGGTAATAGCCTGCAACTCTCCCAGGAGCGTTGTTATCATCCTTGTCCACAGTGTGCTGTACCCAATTCCTTCAAGACCCAAAACAGATTAGCACTAAGGTGAGATCCTGTTCAGCCTTGTACTGCTTCCATATGAGCTTATAGTTGATAGCGCTGGGCACCACTTAGCAATAAATGCATACTTTTTAATGACAAAAATAGCTAGCAGTGACGTGCTTGAAAACTCAGCTCTCATGGCTGTTCATCCTTTTCCTTTCTGCCACCAAGCCAAGAATTTGTATTCTGAGTTGTAGCAGGCAAAGCTTCAGGTGACGAAGGGGCCCTTGACCTCGTTCCACAACAGCTATTTCAGTAGCGCCTTGAAGCTTGGCATGACACCCACTTTGACATGACACCATTTCTTTGCAAGTAAGGCCAGAAAGAAATCGCTGCTTAGGAAAATGCAGACTTGCAGAATTTTCTCGTGGATCACAGCTAACCCTAACTTCGGGATGATTTCTGCCAGGAGGGGAATTGGCTGACATGAGGTAGGCAAGCAAAAGGAAGACAGCTTAGCAAAAACCTGATCTCTCCAAGGTATTTCCTTGGCAGAACCAGAACCGGCTTTCAGCCTCCCTGCTTTTTCAGAAGCACCGGAGGTTTCTCTTGGCAAACCGAGTGACAAATTTTAGAAGGACGACTGCACAGTGTCAGTCGATGCCTGAGGACTGTACCCAGAACAGTGAACTGGTTCATAATCTTGTAATTTCATAGAATGGTTAGGGCTGGAATAAGATAATTTCCACAGAATAAGACTACGAGTCTATTGGAGTAGTGACCCTAGGAAACAGTAAACACACGCACTGAAAACATTTTTAATTTTGAAAGGCGATCACAGAGAATATCGTATAGAAGCTAGGGAAAAAGCTCAATTTCACTACTACTTTTCATCCAGAAGATTTATTTTAGGTATACCTCATTTTACTCAAAACAAACTTGATATGGATATGTTTCCAAACTTCACTTGGTTTAACACTAAAACATTAAAATAATCTCCGTGGGTTTTGACTAAAGTGCAAAGCCCTGTGTCAACCCCAGATCACCTCGGAAAAGTTTCGACATGGCAGAGCTCTCTTCACATACACTGCCTAACTTCAGGTGATTACTTTGTGGCTCATGATTTGGCATAAATATTTCACACGACTGTAAGACCTTTCAAGCTTTAATTCTTTCTGCCGTCTAAACCGCAGTGTTGCCAATATAAGATCAATGACGACAGTGTATTACAGCTATATCTGTGGATATCTAAATTCCCTGCTTTTGATATAATCGTGATTCTCATCAAAATCTTTATTGAGGGTAAAAGTTATCTATTTGGGAACAAAGCAAATAAAATGCTTAAAGTAACATAAAAAGCCAATGATTGTTAAGCAGAAATTATACGTGTCGTTATAAATTGGCATATATTGAAACATAAGTACCGGTTTTGTCATTTTTATTAACAATGCATTAAACAAAAATAAGTATGTTGCAACAATTTAAGATTAAGAGGATTATTTCATTTCGTCAGTAACAGTTTCCTTATCTTGGTTTTTCCATAATTTGAAATTTGGAATGCTTTTTATTAAGATTTTTCCTAAGCCATGATTTCTTCAATTAGATATATTAATATGTCTTTTTGAAAACTTGACACCTAAATGCAAGGGGGAAAGTTGCCACTTAGCAAATGATAGAAGATACGGCAAAGCGTCCTAAGTGACTTAGTTGCATATATTTTCTGTTCTTTTAAAACAAAAGAGGGGGAGGAGAGGAGGTGGAAAGGAAAAGAAGGGGGTGAGGGAAAGCCAGAGATGCTCAGAGATTGTTTTAACTTGGACAGATGCCCCTGAGGCAGCAGCAAATGGTGGCTCTGCAAGGGATGGGGACACTACAGATGTCATGTGTTCTGTGGTGCAATAGTGATGTCATGCTGCTGCAGGCTTGTTCACTTTGAGTTTTTGTGGAAAAGCCAGCGCTGCACCCAGCAGGGCCACCATTCAGAAAAGTGTATAAACCATCCGCGAAGTAAATTGACGTTCAATGAATCATTCTTCTGTTTAAATAGATCATTTGAAATGTGTGTTGCTGAAGCAAGGCCTAATCGTAAGCCACTCTGCAGTATCTTCTTCTCTGGCTTCATGGTTCCTTTGGCCTGAACACAGTAATTACATATCAGCAATTTACTATATTCATAATTTTCTCCAAAGCTTTAAGATAGCTTTTTTCTTTTTATTTCATCAGACAGACATGCCCCACCTCTATCTCAGTAGTACGCTATAGCTCACATTGGCTGTTGCAAGTAGTGTTGCTCGGTGCATGAATGGTTTAATTTTTTTACATCTTTCTTACAGGATGCTGTTGTCAGTAAGAGGAGAAAAGTTGCCAGATCCTCTTGTAGTTATCTTTTTGCTAAGCAGAAGCTTTTCAAGAGCTGAGGGTTTCAATTATAAGTGATGTTTGGTGTCTTTCTCGCTTGAAAAAGTATAACTGAAATTTGTCAAACAACACGTGCAAAAAAAATGGATACTGAGACTGTTGGGTTTCACCACATCCTGTCTGTCAGAAAACTGAAACAGTGTCATGTAGTGATTATTATACAGAAAACCAGCAGCATCTTAAGATGCTCGTATAGTACTCTGAAACTGTATTTACAGCTGTATGCCAGGAAAGACGTCTCTCTGTCATAGGATACTGAATAAACTGTACAAAACTCAAGCAGGCTCATAAGGAAGACTCTAGAATGTAATTGTTTCCTACCAGATTATTGTCAATTTTACATATCATTGGAGAAGGTCAAAATTCCATTGATGATGCGTAAGGTCACACATGGGGTGTATTAAATCTCTTCTTATTAAGAAACTTACGAAATATTTCAGAACAGCAGACAAGCATAAATGCAAATCTAAAAACACACCTTTTACAGCTCTTTTACATTTAATTCCTAAATTGATTGAAAATATTTTTTTTAAACAGAATATTATTGCTGAACATGAAATCCGTAACATTTCCTGTGCTGCACAAGACCCTGAAGACCTTTCTACATTCGCGTACATCACTAAAGACTTGAAGACTAATCATCACTACTGCCATGTATTCACTGCGTTTGATGTGGTCAGTTATTAGAAGATACTTCATTTAATAGTTCTTTGTAATAGGTGAAAACATTTTCAGGGTCTGTGGTGATTAATGGAAGGTATGATTCATTTACCACATATAAAGACTAATCTACTATGGGATAGAAAAAGAACATTTCTGGAGAAGAGCAAAGATTTTCTTTGATATTATCTTATTTCCCACCTGAAATAACTTACCTCTATAATCTCAGCTGTTGACCATAAACTTTGCAAGTAGCTTTTCATACAAGTAATTCTTCTAACCTAAGCTATAGCCTTCCAAGAAGTTTGTAACAAGCAGGTTTGGCCACCCATTCTGAAATCTCAGTGCACACCAAATAAAAAAATCAGAACTGCATCAATGCACGTTATATACAGTGCTCAATCCTGCTAAGAGGTAGGCTCCGGAACTAGCCTGAACTAAGTCTGCAGGGTGTCCTGCATTTTTGACTCTGTTGTACTGCCTGTGTAGTCAGGGAAGGACTGGTTTGGTGATGTCCAGCCTTTTGGCTTTTACCCTCATGGATCCATCCCATGCCAGCCAACAAGGGGTGAGAGAGTTGGACACTTTCTTGTGGGGGCCTTTTGAGCTTGGGCACCTCCCGCATGCATGATGCAGATGTGGGCTGTTTTTTGAACTGGGGATCAGATGTTACCACTGTAAGTGATTTCTTCAGATTTAGCCCTGCTGATCCATGAGTTTTAGTGTTTCAGTGTTAAACTGGATCAGTTCCAATAACTCAAACAACTCTCTAAATATTGTTTAGACTTTTTGACATTATATTGGATGAACTGGAGAACTGAAGCTTCCTCTGCAAATGTGTAGAGAACGTATGAAAAGTTTTGTGTTTACTTTAACCAGAGAACTGAAACACTTACAGATCTGACAAAGAAGAGACCACACAGGTAGCTAATTATACATCTCAAGAGGTCCTAGGAATATTTGGCCTACCACACTGAATCTGAAAGATTTGAAACATCTGTGATAATAGAGATCTGTGCAGAGCATTGTCCTTTCTGTGTTTCCATGTAAGAGGTTACCTCTGTAACCATCAACAGAAGGTTGTTATTAGATGGCCCTTCTCTTGTTCTCTGCTCTCTGACATGTCAGTGGGAGTTTTAGCTTAACAATGCAGTTATGGAATTTGGGGAAAATTTATTTTAGCAGCACCTTTTCCGTTTCAAATAAGATGCATTTTTTCTGAAAATAGCAAATTAATGTTTAATTCTTACTTTCTTGTTTCAACCTTCTTGCCTAAAAAAAAATCTCAAAAATGTTATTTCAGCAAAAGTACTCACAGGTCCTGTTATTTTGGTGGAAAATGACTAAGTTCTTCCTATATTTATGCTTCTCAGATGGTGATGCATAGGCTACTAGTGTTTCAAGAAATCATGAATACATATCAATTAATCAGTCGTATTGTTTTCAGCTGAATTTGATGAAGTAAGTAACGGCTCTGATTTCTAGGACTAAGAGGGCTTGTTGTCCAAAAAGATCAGGAATGCTTGTCATTTGAGTTAAGCACAAGAGAAATTTAAAATGCTATTAAAACTTTAAATAATTCAAGAAAAAATATTTTAGTGTAGTATAATGTGTATGAGTTCTTGAAACATAATTACACGAATATAAATAAGTTAAAAAAGCAGATATGTCTGAACTGAGACATTTTATTTGTAAATGGGGAAACAGTCAACATTGCAGAGCGATAGCGTGTAGGATAGTTTAAATTACAAGATGTTCAGGAAGGTAGGTTAGAAGGAATTTTAGCAGTTTAGTTCAGTGCTTTTGTTGTTTAACTTCTCTGCTGACCTTTTAGTGTTCACAGGGAGTAGAAAAAACTTTAGAATTGTGTTAAAAATAGGTAGACTGCGGTCAACAAGGTGTTACATTGTACAGATTTTAGTGATAAGTGAATCAACTGAATTTAGACTGATTGAGTGAGGTTATTATTTCTCCTGATCCATTTAAATACTTCTTAATGGTTTCCAAGTACTGCAGTTTCATTTATAGGTTTAATAATCAAGTACAAGCATAGACCCAGGTGTAGTAGATGAAATTCATTTTCTCCTTGCTTCACAAGGAAAGAATAGTAATGCAGGAATAATTACAATATTTTACTCACTTCCTGAACCTTAGGAGGAGCATTTAATACCCCAAGCACTTTAAATGGCTATTTTAAGCAATACAGAAAATTTAATGTCTAACTGTCTTGACTTTGTTTTCTCCTGCAACATAATCCTCAGTGGGGTGTTACCTACTCAAATATTCTCTTTTTGTGTTGTTTTGTTTCTCAGGATCTAGCATTTCTGATGCAAGTACAAGCTCCATAAAAAATAGCTAGATATTCAGAACACAGGCATACAGTAAATTAAATTTTCTATTTAAAGTCTAACACTTAATATTAACCTGATCTTCCAATTTGCTAATAGAAACATTCCTATCCATTTGTCAGTGCATAGAAGTTCAATCATATTAAGAAAAATAAGGTTTAAAATGGTAGAAATTCACAATAAGGTGTAAAAAAGGATGCATCTTAAATCATGTATGTTATGGTAATACAATATATGCAGTGGTATGAAAAAAAAATTCACTCTCTTGAGTCCTTTGGTTCCTCAGGAAATGTGGGCAAGAAAATTTTTTTGCAGATAGGAAAGCGTTTTAGTATAGTGACGTGGCAACTACCAGCATTACTGATACTTGCTATTTAGGAGTGACTGTACTTGTAACTTCTGTACTCAGAGTTAAAATTCTATAATCAAAATTGCAAAAACGTCAGACGATTAAAGAATACTGAAGGGGACAAGGTTTGGGGGAAGAAGAGAATTCATTGCCTCAACATTTGAAATCCACTTCACTCTCATTCACTTATAAAGCAACCCTAAAACTACCAGTAACTGATTCCCTCTGGAGAAACAAACCACCGTTAACAGTTCCTATACCAAATTCTAGTTCATATATGGGAGACATCCAAAGTAATTTCCATCAGATATTCCTTCATTGCCAAATGCACCTATGAATAGAAGACAACCGGCATAAATTGGAACAATTTCAGGTCTTGCTCATGCAAGGAATAGGCTGCCGCTCTACATAACACAAAGATTTTTTTTCTTCTTTTCTGTATTCTTTTTTCCTTCATTACACAGACTTAAGCTAGATAAGAATTGGAAACTGCTAGTACACGTGCTTAGCAGAGAAGAAAAAGCATGGATTCAGGTCTCAAAGTTCTGTTCATTGCCTTCTTCCAGGGGATTAGGGGACTTCATGAAATTTTTCTCTCTTCATATGATCGATGTGTCATCTCATGTCTACAGAACAGAAAATTTCTTTCCTTTGGAGTATCCACAGACAGCATGCCCAGACAGTCTCCTCTCTGGGGAATATTAGGTGGAATGTGTCAAACCATTTCAGTTGCTCCTGGCAAATTTCTTGAGCTGGAGCACACTTAGGTACAAGGAGCTTTCAGCTCATGAGCAAATGCATCGCTCCTCTCGTCTACATCAATGGCTTTTGCAGCAGCCTCAAAGGCCCGCTTTGAAGGCCTGTTTCCCTGCTCCTGTTGCATACAAGGTATCTTTCATTGCCATGTTGGGAGAGAGGGATGGATTCAGAAGAGTTTGCCCTCCACGATTGCTTT